AAACCCTAAACCCCAAATAAACCCCTAAACCCCTAAACCCTAAACCCTAAACCTACCAAGGCACCGTACGTGAGGCGTTGCCGACGAGCATCCACTGGAAGGCTAAGTCGGCGTATCGCCAAAACTGGTTCGACGGGCTGGAGGCACTGAATATGGGTTTAGGGTTTAGGGTTTAGGGTTTAGGGTTGAGGGCATTAATGATTAGAGTAGGGTTTTGGGTCTATTAGGGTTTTGGGTAGTTTATACTCTACGGGCATTAAGAATTGGAGTAGGGTTCTGGTTGTGTTGTAATTTTGTACTGCAAATATATTAAGGGACCCTCAAGGATTAAGGAACTGCATTGGTCTTTTTCAAGCCGCTAGAACCTAAACCCGAAAGCCGTTGTGGATCCCTTAGGGAACTCTTAAAGGAACGCTTTCGCGCCCCAACCGTTAAACCCTGATGGATCCCTTGCAAGAGCCCTTAAACGAGCCCTAGTCCTACGGGTTTCAAACGTTGGGATTCAGGGTCTGATGCGTTGGCTCTGAGGTTCAGGTTTAAGGATCAATGAGGGCTTAGGTTTAGGGAACCCTAAACTCCTAAACCCTAAACCCTAATCGGTCCTAAACCCTAAACCCTAATCGGTCCTAAACCCTAAGCCCTAATCGGTCCTAAACCCTAAACCCTAAACCCTAAACCGGTTTCGGGGTTCCCGGCCGGTGGGGCCGTAGGTGTCAGGCCTGTTAGGCTGTAGGTTTGGGGAATTAGAACTTTAGGGCCAGGGCGTGGGCTTCAGGGTATAGGGTTTAGGGTTGAGGAGGGCTTAGGGTTTAGGGTGTAGGGCTCAGGGTTTAGGGTTTAGGCTTTAGGGCGCATGGTTTCAGAGTAGTTGTTTGGGTTTGGAGAATGAGGGTCGGGTTGGGGCTCGGGGGGTTGGGACTCAAGTTTGACAGATCGGGACCTGACCTCTAATTAGTCTCCGTCGTAGTTCCTTTTTGGGGCTACCTTATAGGATCCGAAATATAAAACTGGTTAAACCAAACGAAGGAATTAGAATGGAGATTGTACAGGTAGGATGCAGGATTCCCATCTCAAAATATCGCTGTGAACCAAAAGGGTTGCTAGCGTGCGACGCGAAACGACAGGCGCGGTGAGTACAGCCGCTTGCCAGAACGAAAACACCTCCAAGCAGGAACGACACTAATGGGTTTTTGGGTTCGCGCGTTCGGGGGTAGGTTTTGGAGCTTACGACTTTAGGCTTTTGCATGTAGGGTTTTGTGTCTGCGGTTGTTCTGGATTTAGGGTCTCTGTTTGTTGTTTCAGTGTTTGGGTTTATAGGGGTTTAGGGAGGGTTGCTGGATTCAGGGTTAATTAGCTTTGGGCTTAAGGTTCTGTGTTCGAGGTCGGATGGATTTGGAATGCAGCGTACCAGCAAGGTCGCCCGAGGACCTTTAGCAAACTAACCCTAAACCCTAAACCGTAAACCCACGGCTGAAGTACGCGTCCTCTGAAGGTGGACCTTGCCAATGGCTTGGGGTTCCGTGGTTTGCGCTGCTTGTTGTAACCTGGCTATAAATATGGGTCGCTTGTAGCAACTCCTTTTAGCAACTCTTGTGATTAAACCCTAATAGTACCGCAAACCCTAGGCCCAAACCATCCCACACCCTAGTCCTAAACCCTCGTCCCTGGCCATGATAGTAGCCTTCACCCTAAACCCTAAACTTAACCGTTCTAACAGTAGAGTTGTGAGATGGTGCTTGCAGACCTCATTGGAGAGCTGGTCGATGAGGTTCTGCAAGACCTTGGCATCTCTAAGTTGCGGGTTTAGGGTTTAGGGTTGGGGTACCGTATCCACTTGGAGGTGCATGGGTAGTTATAAGTGGGGTCATAAGTAGGGTAACTATAGTTATAACCCATATTAGGGGACTTTTAACCCCACTTACAACTAACCATGAACCTCCAAGTAGGGGTTTAGGGCTTAGGGTACCCAGGCTTTATCAACGTTCCTGCTGCAAGGGCTCCTGTAAGTTCAGGGCTTGAGGGTTTCGGGCTTGGGGTGTCTTATTAAGATGGGAGGTTTGACTATGAAGGTCTCACAAAGTTTAGGATAAGCCCTAGGCCCCTAAACCCTAAACCCTAAACCCTTAGTCCTACCGTTTGGGGTCGACTTTGGGACCTTTTCCCTAAGCCCTAAACCCCGAAGCCCTAGACCCTAGACCCTTAAGCCCCCTAAAAACGGAAACTAAACCCGTAAGCTATACACCCCTAAACCCCTAAACCCCCAAGCCCTGAACCCTTCTCTGTCTTTCGGAATTTTTTTCGGAAGCCCCCCACCTCCGAACGGACTCGATGCTCGAAGTTCTGGACAGAGCCGAACCATGTGCAAATGCACTCCTAGATACTTTTTGGTTAGGGTTTTTGGGGCTTAGATACTTTTTGGTTAGGGCTTTTGGGGCTTAGATACTTTTTGGCTAGGGTTTTTGGGGCGTAGGGTTTAGTGTTTAGGATTTCGAGGGATTGATTACAGGGTGTATAGGGTTTAGGGCATAGGGTTTAGGGGCTTCAGGAGACGAGGGTTTAGGGGTTGAGTCCGATGGGCCAAGACATGAAATGAAACCGTCTACCACTGAAGAACCTAGAGTCTATGATGATCTTCCTGTCGCAGGGCATGCTCTCACCGGATATTGGGTCACGATGGTCCACGGAACAGCAGAAACTTTTTAAGTTGCCGAGGCTAAAGACGGCCATCTCGTCGTGAACTTTCGCGACTTGCCGGCAATATCCCCGTCCTTGCTTGTCCAGTTTCCATGGGGATCAATAATCATAGCAGTAGTACTAACAATTAGTAATAATAGCAGCAGCAACAGCAACAGCAATAACAAGATTAATACGAATAATAGCAGGTCCACTTTGCCTCAGGATCTAACGGCTAATCTTGGAATCTTACTGGGCTACAGTACTGCAAATAGGTAAAAAGATTACGCGCTTACTGTGCTACAAAGCATCCGATGTGAATGACGACGAGCATCACGGCGGTGGCCCCCACAAAATGGCCGAGCCAGAAAACCATTCCAGCTCCAACCAAGTCGAAAAGAACAGAAGCTGCAAAGTTGGTAATGTTGAGCTGCGCGAGGATGAGGTGCACTGCAGGGCCCAGAACAGTGGGCCGGATCATCAGTTGGGGCTTCATGCCTCTCCTATACTGAACTTAGACCCCTAGCAAAATCATAATTTTAGCTGCTTCTTAGGGTTTATAGTATTTATAGTAGTCAAAAATTAAAAAAATATTTCTAAGTACCCCTGAGTCTCTGTCGACTATGCAGGAACCCTGCGAGCTCGAAGATGCACCTCGACGGCTCTTCGTTCTTCGGATCAGGGCTTGGGGTTCGGGGTTTAGGAAACCAGATTCAAAGTCAAGTCAAGAGTTCAATGAAGGGGGCTTAAGAATAAGAAGAATAAAGAGTTCAATAGAGGGGGCTTTATAATAAGTAGAGTAGGGTTTTGGGGCCCATTAAACTATACTTATAATAAGGGACCCCCCCCAAAAAAAAAAATAGTAGAGGTGTTTAGGCCCCTATAGTATGTGTGGCCGGATGTCGAGCCGGCTGCAAGATGGCTGCAGATTCATGAGTTTTCTCGGCTTCTGGACTCGTACATGCGGCTGTCAAGCCACTCACAACTAATATGACACAACCCGTATAACCCTTAACGGAACCCTAAAACCCTAAAGCCTACAACACCTAAACTAACCCCAACACCCTACCTAAACCCTTTTAACCTTCAGCTCTAAACCCTAAACCCCTAAACCCCTAAACCCCTAAACCCCCAAACCCTAAACCCTAAACCCTAAACCCCAAAACCCTCAACCCGAAACCCTAAACCCCTAAAGCCCTAAAGCCCTAAACCCTAAATCCTAAACCCTAAACCCAAAGCCCCTAAACCCGAAACCCCCAAACCCCTGAACCCCTAAACCCTAAACCCTAAACC